CCTTAAGCATTGAAAAGGATATGGCGCACACAATTACTCCAGAACAAGTTATTGACTATTTTGCTATTAATGAAAATAGAAAAATTTACTTAATGTATAAAAAAATTTAATATTTATTTATTGTTTAGTGAATAAACATTATAGTTACGTTTATTTTTGTTTTAAAAAATGTGTCCATGTTTTTGTTGTGTTTACTTGTTTATGAAAATAAAATATTTAATTAATGTTGTGTTTTATTTTCCTCACTCCTGAAATAAGGATTACTCCTTTAAAATTGTCTACCCAAAAATTGTCATTAAGCTTCGCCACTGATTGAGAAGCGTTATTATAATATGATGTACGTCTAATCCTGAATAGTATAAATGTAATATAGTAAAAGTAACAGTTTTTTCAACAATAGATAGCGATTGGAAATGGGGAAGTAGTTAAGTAAACACTTTGGTCCCTTTCTTAGACAAAATATAATGAAACTCGTTAATTTTTTTTATTATCTATAAATTATGTAAACTATATTTAACGTTGTAGCAAATATAACCTAATAGTGTGCAGATCACATGTTTATTTAAAATAATAAATCATAATATAGCATCGGATGTCATTTACCGCCACATGCTAACGATCGTAATAGAGGACACGCAACAATACATCTCACCGCCATCTGGAAAACTGTTTTTCCACGCTTAACCTTCAATTTATATACCTTTATACATTTTTATTACGAATATATAAATAAGTTCATTTTTTTTTAAATTGTCAGCTATAAATTTACACATCGACGTTTCGTGTTTTCAGGATAAATATAAAGTTTTGCCTATTTTTAAAAATTGGTCTGTTTTACCATTTTAAATTTTAGAATCATAATGTAATTAGTATGCTACGCTTTAATATTTTGGTGGGTAGCTGACATGTTTATGTGTTTAATACCATAAATACGAGAGGTGTGTTCAAGGAGTAATTTATAATTATTTTTAACGTTGTAATTCTTTTCACAACTGTTGAAAGCTCGGTTAGTAAATCATATAAAAGCTAAAGTAATAAAATGAGTTAAACTAGAAAAAAGCTTATTGAAAATCGGAGATATATCGAATAAAAAGACACAGCAGATTAGAGACGAATAAGTAAAGAAATATCAAACGAAATACGAAATGATGCATGAAAATACAGTTCAGAAACTGCTTCGGAAGAATTAGAACGAAATAAAGATTTCAAAACATTGAGAAGAAATCTAACAGAGGGAATAACATATATAAAAGCGACAGACCCAGAAGATATAGTAATATCTGGTAAAAAAAATCTAATACATTATCAGAAATTGCAACGACATTAAAAGAAATAAAAAACAACCTCAGAGCCTAAGAAGAAGATAACACTGTAATTAAATGAATTAAATAAACCGGGTCGTACCAGAGCTATTAAAGCTGGATAAAAGTCCTCAAGATGGAGTACAATGGACAAAAATGAGGGAGGTCTATGTCCAGCAATAGACGCAATGGGCTGTGATGATGATGATGATGACCAAAGCTACAAGGTAAGTCAGCTGTAACTCTCAGTTGGCTTGTTGCTCTGGTACGAGTTTGTTGGGCGTCGACATTCACGAGTAAGGATTCAAGATCTGTTTTATTTAAAATTATCGGCATTGCGTCATTAATTTTTAAATTTAAATAAGTTTTAAATACTGCCACCTCAATAATTTCAGACGAAGTCAGTCAACTAAAATAGGTTTAAAAATTAACCTTAAAAATACCTAGTATTATCAAACTTACTACTAAGTCAAAATAGGTGGAGATTATACACGATGAATAAAACTAGAATGGAGGCTTTCGACAGACTAACAAATTTAAAATCAATATATAACAACCTATATGTATGAAAAGGAAGGTATTTGAGAAATATGTGCTCAATGTGAGCTATATAGATAATGGTTTATAACTTTCTACGTCTTCTTACGATTTCCAATCTCGAATATTTTCTAATTTGGCACATATCCACATTTAGCCTCCCTTCTTGCATTTCACCATCGATACCTTTTCTCCTCTTCGTTGTCTATATCTTCTACATTTCTTCAGTATAGTAGTTGCATTGGTAATCAATCTACTCCCATTCTCTGAACGTGATCATAGCACTTTAGTTATTTGTATTTTATGTGATCAATAATTGTTTAAAAAAGTTCATAAATCTGCGGATATCCCCATTGGTAACTTTTTCTCAACATGATCTTCCAGCTGACCCTCTCTGGAAGTCTATTTCCTTGGTTAGAACTGTTCTTTCTGCTTGTATAATGATATATTGGTCTGGTATATCCTTTTTTTTTTGTTTTCTTTGATGACATTTTTGTCCCACGAAACACCGTCCATTATTTTTATGGCTTTTTTCCTTGCATATTTTTGTCTTTTATTGATTCAGCCAGGGTCCCATTTACGATCTCCAACAGTATCATTTACACTTGTACAAAAACTATGGAAAAAATCTGGGTAGCTCAGCGAGACATGGAGCGGCTGATTTTGAAATTAACGATATTTTAAAAATGGTTCCAAATGTCATGTTCTAAGATGTTATAAGATGACCAAATATTATAAGAGCCTAAGGAGGGATTACAAATGTCGTGCAAGGATATGAGGTAAAACTGGCCCAAACACATAACGGTATATCTTTCTTCTGTTTTCTTTGGAGACATTTTTGCCCTACAGAACACCATCCATTATTTTTATGACTTCTTTCATTGCATATTTTTGTCTTTTATTGATTTATCTGGGTCCCATTTACGATCCCCAGCAGTAACATTTTCACGTTTGTTAAACAAAAATCACGTTACAAAAATACCTTTAAAGTTTTTAATGTTAAAGATACTTTCACGTTTTAAATAATATACAGGTACCAAACTACCTGATAATTATGTATTATTTTCTCTAGATGCAATTTCATTAATTACTAACATTCAGGCAGACTTAATATTTTTAAATATAGGTCTAAAACGAAAACACCCTTCACAATTTTAATTAAAGAAATTATTGACTGGCCAGTTGGTTGTCAAAACCATTGCCAATAAAACACACACACACACACACACACACACACACACACACACACACACACACACACACACACACACATTGCCAAATTGACGTTGCTAAATTCCATTTTAAAAATACTTCTTATTCAACAGGACATTTTATCGTCAAATCTCTGAAACTCCTCTGGGTAGTCCGATAAATAATATATTGACATACATTGTTTTAGATTATTTATGAAAAAACACCACAATCAACCAAACAATTAGGTCTTAAATCCAGCTTAAAAATGTTTAAATCTTTTAATAATAAGATGCATTTACTGTTGTAAGACAAACTGACAACCGCTCTTTAACACTAAATTAATTTGCACGGAAGACAATCATATCACTATAGATTGGTACCAAAAACTTATTGAAGGCAGATTTCTAAACTTTGATTTCAACCACCCAAAAAATGAGTCCTGCAATATAGTTCTTGCCTTGGCAAGTAGTCTCCGTATATGTGACGATCTGTTTCTAAGTAACAATGAAAGAATATTATTTGAAATTTTGTTAATAATGGTTATTTAAAGCCATTAATAAAACAATTAATTTTTTATCGTACTTCTATGGTGGAGCATTGGATAGAAATGCTTCCCAAGATTTTGAATACAAAACATTGATCTACGTTGGAAACCTAACAAATAAAATTACTATCCTCTTTAAACCATATACGAACATCAAAATTAGTAGGTACAGCCGTAATAACTAAAGTTGTTTCTTTCATATTAAGGACAACTCACCAGTAATGTACACTACCAATAAAACTTACAAACCACCGTGTTTAAGCTACGAAGGTAGCTATATGGGACAGACAAGCCAATTGCTAAAACAACGCATTACCTAGAACAAAATAAAATGACTGCAATAAAGGTAAACATACATGCGCTGTTTTCGAACTTTCAAGAATACAGATCCCCAGTTTGACTATAATAATATTCAAATTCTACAAACAGTAAATTCAGACAAAATTAGGCTGTGCCGAGCTTTCGACATCATCTCTGTAATACAATACAATTAGTACATTACAATAAGTACATTACTGTACTGTACTGTAAGTAACGCATTGATTACTGATCATTGTAGTGGTGTCTGGGGCTCGGGAGACTAAGACCTCGGAAGCCCTGAACAAGACATCGAAGTGGATGTCGAAAGTTGGCTTATATAGTATCGGGCGCAGTCTGCACAAAGAAATTTATAAACTCCGTGCTGATCATTTGGAATGTTGTCTTTGATTGATTGGACAAGAGATGAAACTTTTTGTTGTGAAAAAACGAAAAACCAATCTTAAGGTTTTCATCATTCTCTTTATCGACATCCCACCCATACTAATCGTTAGTTGCCAAAGTAGACCCACTGAGCTCTCTGGTTTAAAACAAGCTCTCATCCGTAATGGTCACCGCAAAGATCAATCAATAGTTGCATTCACAGCCATCAATCTTCAATTCAATCTCAATCCTAAGACTCAGACCCTCATCATACGAAAGCTTGTCTCCTTTACATCAAAAGTCTCACTGACAAAATCGAAACAATCTTAAATCAAGCGAAATAAAGACAATATTTACCCCCAACAAAAACTTTCATCTCTTGTCCGATAAATCAAAGAAACCATTCCAAATAAACAACACGGGGTTTATGAAATTCCTAGTACAGACTGCCCCCCATTCTATGTAAACCAAACAAATTGTGGAATCTAAAATAGGATTTATAAACATTAAATTTCTGTTTGAAATTCTGACTCAATTTCAGCTCTAGGTAAACACCATCTTCATCAGGTCACAAAATTGATTTTGAGAACTCCAGAAACATAGCCCCCGATAGTAGTGCATTTCTTCTAGATATATAATAAGATATTTTTGTCAATCGTTTAGTTATTGGTCATTATAAATATAATATCATCAACACTGAGACAATTTTTCACATTTTTTTAAATATACCTAATTATTTTTAGATTCATCAGGAAGACTTTCAAAAGAATCAGCCGAATACGTTGATATTATCCACACAGATGCTGGAATTTTTGGAATTCCTATTTCAATAGGACATTCCGACTTTTTCCCTAATGGGGGTAGAGCTTTACAGCCTGGATGCCAACCAAGTTATTTGGTGAAACAAAAAATTGTTAATCAAGTGTGTAAGTATTAGTGAAAGTAGTATTGTTGATAATAACGTCTCGGTTGCGCAGTGGTGAGAACGTCAACTTACTGGACGCAAAAACTCAGGCCGTATGTTTGACTCCGCTTTAGAACCTAATTAGAAATTCTGATCTTTGCCAAATCAACGGCAGTCATACATATATAATAAGCGACTCTGTAAAGACAACGAAGCCGACTTTACTTATTAATCCATTATTTATTATACTAATATTAATGTATATACTCAACACAACAATGATTTTCCTGGTTTTAACTTTAGAATTTGATGCGGTCACAACTGAAATAAAACTAAAGTAAATTTGTTGATAAATAAAGATTTTATTCGGTATAAATATAGTAAATCTAGTTTTAAAGCAATAACTAACTACATATTTTAGATAGACAACATTGCCTTTTTTACTAATCTAAACTATGCACTTTTTAATAAAACATCAATACCACTTTTACTGGTGAATAATAAATTGGAATTCCTACTTCAGAAAAGTAACAACCAAACACAGCAAAAAAGTTTTATAAAGAAATAAACAGAAGAAATAAAAGAGATACAGAAATTCAGTATTATCAGTAAAAACATATCCAGGGGCAGATGTACCAACAGATCACAATTTTTTAGTAGGAAAAATAAGACTGAGATTAAAAAGAGTTACAAGGACGAATAAGCAAACAGTTACTATTGATAGAGAAACGATGCTAAATGATACTGTAAAACAAGAAATAACTAGTATATTAGAACAAAACATGAAGTTAACATCAAGCAAAAAAGAAAGTACTGAGGAAAACTGGACGAGAATTAAAGACATCTTAAAAACTGTTCAAGAAACAAAATTGAGTGCGCTAAAAGCAAGATAAAAACAAGGGTGGATGACAGAAGAAATACTGAGACTTATGGATCAATGAAAAAAAGTCAAAAATAAAGATAAAAACGAATACAAGAGGATCCACGCAATAATCAGGCAGAAGATAAGACACGCGAAAACACAATTTCATAGTAAAGAATGTATTGAAATTCAACAATATAAAAAGAAACACGATACATTTCATCTGCACAAGAAATTGAAAGAGGTCGCTGGAAACAAATGGAAACAAGTATCCCAAAGTTTAGAAGACAGAAACGGACACAGAATATTAGACATCAATGAAAAGTTAGAAGAATGGGTAAACTATATTTCTGAATTATTTGAAGATGAGAGAGTAGAACACTATACACCGATTGCTATATCAGGTCCATCTATAACAGAAAGTGAGGTAAGACGTTCAATACAAACGGCAAAAAATGGAAAAGCACTTGGCCCCGATGAAGTAAGTGCTGAAATACTAAAGTTATTGGGAGAAAATGGAATTAAAGCTCTGTGTAATCTCTTTAACAGAATTTATGACACTGGGATATTACCAACTGATTGGTTAAAGTCAACATTTGTCACAATACCTAAAAAACATCGTCCAAAGACATGCGGTGATTATCGGACAATAAGTCTAATGAGTCACGTTTTGAAAATCTTTCTGCGAGTAATACACAGCAGAATTTACACGCTGTTAGAGGACAGAATTAGCAATACTCAATTTGGGTTTAGGAGTGGCTTGGCTACAAGAGAAGCCTTGTTTAGTATACAGGTGCTAGTACAGAGATGCAGAGATATAAATCAAAATGTGTATATTTGTGCAATCGATTTTGAAAAAGCTTTTGACAAAGTCCGACATAACAAAATGCTAGAAATATTAGAAACAGCTGGATTCGACGATAAAGATCTACGAATAATTACAAATCTATACTGGCATCAAGTGGCAAGAATAAAGGTTGAACAAGAACTGTCGGATGAAATAAATATAAAAAGAGGAGTGAGACAAGGCTGTATATTGTCGCCTTTACTTTTTAACTTATATTCGGAGGAAATATTTAAGGAAGCCTTAATGGAGACAACCGAAGGTATTATTGTGAATGGAGTAACCGTCAACAATATTAGATATGCCGACGATACCTTAGTCCTTGCCAATTGCGGAGAAGACCTTCAAAATCTCAGACTTGTGATCAGTATGGATTAAAACTGAACGTTAAGAAAACTAAATATATGATAGCAAACAAAATTATATACATGATGACGGTATAAAAGTCGGAGATGGCACACTGGACAGAGTAGAGAAACTCGTGTATCTCGGCAGTAATATCAATGAGAGCTGGGATCCAACCGCAGAAATTAAAAGCCGAATAGAACAAGCCCGAGCTGCCTTTGTAAAAATGAGAAACGTAGTTTGCAGTCACGATCTTAGCATTGACCTTAGAGTTCGTATGATATCTTGCTACATCTTTCCTGTCCTGCTGTATGGAGTAGAAGCGTGGACCCTAACTGAGGCTATGCTTAAACGCTTGACAGCCTTTGAGATGTGGGTATACAGACGACTACTGAAAATAAGCTGGGTCGACAGAGTTAGAAATGAGGAGGTCCTTAGACGGCTGAACCAAACAACACAACTGGTCAATATAATAAAGAAACGCAAGCTGGAATACTTCGGTCATATTATGAGACACCCTGAAAAATATGATCTTTTACATCTGATCAGTCAGGGAAAGATCCAAGGTAATCGTGGTCCTGGTAGAAGAAGAACATCATGGCTGAAAAATCTAAGGCAATGGTATGGAAAATCAACTACATCGTTATTTAGAGCTGCTGTCAATAAAGTCACGATAGCGAATATGGTAGCCAACATGATATCCAACGATCGATAACGGTCATGGAACTAGAAGAAGAAGATAAGGTAGCTACAGGTAGTCAAGAGACAGTTGCGTACGATAAACAAATTAGGTGATATTACCACAGTAATCTGAATGTTTTCACCACAAAATTTATATAATATAGACAGTCTTTACTATGCCAATAAAAAAATAAAAATCTTATACACTAAGTTTGAAAACACAATGAATAACAAACTCGAAGTTGTCTCGGGCTTACGTCACTGGTTTGCAAGAGAGATGCATGAACATGCACGTTGATTTATCTTGTTTGTTATAGTATCATGGGAGCGTACGTACTGTCCGTATCATACCGTGTCAACGCAGTACGCACTTAGCTTCATAGACCCTACATAATATAGTTTGTTGAGATCAGGGCCCTGATTCCAATTTAGATTTCGATTCAAAACAAGTCGAAATTAATATTGCGACGTCGAAATGCGACTTTGCGAGCCTAGTGGATTTCAGCTAAACTAACCAAAGGACGTCACTAATTTTCGATTTATCGAAATTAATTTCAACTTCAAGGAAGTGGTTGACTTTTTATTTCGAGTCGAGATTAATGTGCCATGACTGGGAGTAAGTGAGATTAGGTTCAGTTTAGACGGTGTTGTTTTGTTTGATTCTTACAAGTAAAACTGAGGCAAAAAGTATTAATATGGCTGCGTTTTATGAGAAATTGTATGTGATTCGGCACATAATTGGTCGAAATTTTGACACCTATAAAAATAGAATTGCAGTACCTGGGGGCCCCAAGCCAGATGCTACTGATTATTTTTTAAAATACTGTGGTGCAAAAATTAAAGAAATAAAATGTCCAAATATTAAACACATTCATGATTTATTAAAACTAAATTGGAAACCACAATTTTTGAAGATATTCAACAGGCTGTAATGGAAGATAGAAATAATAAATAATTTGTTTGTAATAATTTATTTGTTCTTTTTACAAATTATGTGTTTGAATGGCATGCTCTTGAAATTCTACTCTTATTTTTGGAGATATAAAATAATCTTTAAACTTATCACGAATTTTTAGAGTCGTTATGTATTGTTGTTAGTAATACATCTCCTCCTACTTTTAGTAGTTCCGATGCTATTTGATCCAATCCCTGTGATTTATTGTTTTCCAATTTGGCTACTGCTCTTCTAATCTTGGTTATTGTTGGTGCCTGGTGGGCACTGTTCTCCGATGTCTGCTTGGTTTAATTGGATATCAAAGTTCTCCTCCAGCCGCCACTATGACATAAGTTTTACGTTTTTGCGCAGAAATTGACGCATTTCTTGTACAAAAAACTGCAACAAGCACAAATTCTTGTATCGTTTTTAATATAAGAACTATACGCTTGTATGATACTATCCATTTTTTTTATCAGAAACGATATAAGAAATGATACAAGAAAATGCATAGTGTCATACGGCCTTAAGAAGAATGTTACGGGATACTCAAAATCCTTTTTCACTAAGTGATGCTCAATTTAGACAGCAACTCCGCCTTAATAAACAAGCTGCAAATTATTTGATAAGGATATTAGAACCATATTTGGAGGAGTGTGTTTATGCCTCTAGGAGACCCAAAATGTTTAGGATAAGTAAGCTGCAGTAAGTTTAAAAATATATTAGAATATAACCATTAAGTCAAAAGCCACCATAATTTCTTTTTGGTCCACAGACAATTTAGTGCCACCATCACCGACAGCCTATCCATCCATTTCCTTTCAATTCAAAATATAATAACTGAGAATGGCTACTAAAAATTTAACAACTCAAACAAGAAACAAAAGGCGTAACGTAAACAAAACAAACATTTAACAGTCGTTGTGCAGCGTGCAGCAAATAAACAAGACGACCAACCCAAATTCTGAGCAGTGTCAAAATGATAAAGTAAATATCCCCACTTTTAACTAAAATCGAAATGAATGAGAATCGCTAGCGAATGCGACTGTCATGGCGTAGTCGCTTTTAAATTTCGACATCGAAATGAAACAGAATCAGTGCCCAGGTCGTTATAGAACTTTTAAAAACATAAAAATAACAGGGTGTTGCAATAAAAATAAAAGTGTATGCTAGACTATCGAGAATCACCCTGGACAATTAAAATTTACCCTTTTTCTTAAAAAAGGACACAAACAATTTTATTCCTTTTAAAATGCTTTTGCTTTTAAAATTATTCACACTGCATAATTTCAAAATTTCACCATGCAATATTTTTAATAGACTTACATGATACAATCCGTTAATATCAGGTTGTTAGGCAGCTTTTAAAAATATTAAAAATACAGAGCGTTTGATTAAAAATAAAAATTATGAACTATGATAGACTTGTGTGAATCACCATGTACATTAAAATTTATCTTCAAAAAACGTACATTCAGATTTAGTAGACGGTCTGAAGGTTTTATTAAATTTTTTTAAAATAAGAACACACATGATTTTAGTCCATGAGTAATTTCCACACTGTATATACCTGAGCGTGTGCATGTGTATATGTAGCAGGTACATTATAATAATTAATTGTAATTTTAATTAGCTATTTAACCCACAATACTTAATGACTCTTCATTTGAGCACAAGTTTAATCAACAACTTCGTGTTAAAATGTTATTTTTGCCAACGTCCCAAATTTTATGTTATTTAGGCTAATTTGGATTCTGATATGTGATTACTATAAAACGTCACGCAATGCTGTACATAATGGGGAACACTATCTAGAATTCAATTTGCGGTTTTTGTCATTTATTTTAAATTAGTGACTTACTTTTGGCAATCTGAAAAGTATAGTGTTTATATCGCAAACAGTAGTAATTGTTAACACTACGGAATTTATCATGTTATTTTAAGTACTCCGGACTTTAAAATCCTCTGTTATATTAAACAGGGTGATGGTATTACCTGAACTTATTTACAGACGGAAAAATTTAAGTTTTCAGGATCTTTACGTGATATAAACCTCGCTAATTCACTGGTAGTCCAGGGAAATAAGCTATTTTTCGTGACACTTATCCGGCCAGGTAAACGACAGTTGTTTTGAGTAGTATGGACCTCCATTACAAGAACCTATATGTTTCCTGCAGTCGATTTTTTGGACTTAATTAATTATTAACAAATTAAGGTCAAAAAACGGTAAATTTTCGTTTTTTGGTCTATCAGTAATAAGTGAAGCATTTGAAACAAATTGGAGTGTAAGTAACTTCTAAACTCATATAAATTTATTTAAAATGATTTTTTTATTGTTTCTATCCTTATTTGTTGCTTGGAAAGTTGAAAAATAAGTCAAAACTTTTGGTTTTAAAAAAATAAAACTATAACCTTTATATTATTACACACAATGTTGGGTCACGCGGTGCTTAAAACATGAACAAAATTTCAAGTCGATTAATCAAATAATTTAAAAGGTATTTAATTTGTTCATTTAAAATCTAATTTTTTTGCAGCAGTATAAGTCAGCAAATTACGTACGTATAGTAATTATACCGGTTTTTTCTGATAAAAGTAGATTAATTTTATTAACATTATCTATTAAAAAATTAAAAAAATTATTTTAAATATTGCATAATGATTTGGCAAAAACATGTCGATTTTTTGCTTATAAACAATTAGAAGAACTTTTTAACCATTACCTTCAAGAAAATTATTTTTTCAGAATTTTGAAAGCTTGCATTTTTTTATAAATTTGAGTAAAAAAAATGTTGACCTATGATACTTAACTACGAATTTAATGTATTTTATAACATTTATGTATTTACACTTAAAAAAAAATGTTCACAAAGTTTTAAAAATGTGGTCCCCAAAATCGACCGGGTTTGAAACTCGTTAAAGCAGTGGAGGGAGAAGGATCTGTTAACTGTATCTCTGATTCTTTTTTAGGGATTTCAACGTTTCTTTTTTTTATGCATGTAATTTTTGCGTACGTAAATATTTAAATTGTTAAATAAACCATCTAATTTGTTTTCAGTTTTAATTTTTTTTTTGTAATATTTGAGGTAATTTTTATTGTAAAACATAATATTTATGATTAATATATACTTCTTTAATACACTTCGTAAATAATTTATTTAAAATAAGATTTATAAAAAAACAAATTATCCTATTCAATTCTTTCAATATATTGAGAGAGAGAGAGAGAGAGATAGAGAGAGAGAGAGAGAGAGAGAGAGAGAGAGAGAGAGAGAGAGAGAGAGAGAGAGAGAGAGAGAGAGAGAGAGAGAGAGAGAGAGAGAGAGAGAGAGAGAGAGAGAGAGAGAGAGAGAGAGAGAGAGAGAGAGAGAGAGAGAGAGAGAGAGAGAGAGAGAGAGAGAGAGAGAGAGAGAGAGAGAGAGAGAGAGAGAGAGAGAAGAGAGAGAGAGAGAGAGAGAGAGAGAGAGAGAGAGAGAGAGAGAGAGAGAGAGAGAGAGAGAGAGAGAGAGAGAGAGAGAGAGAGAGAGAGAGAGAGAGAGAGAGAGAGAGAGAGAGAGAGAGAGAGAGAGAGAGAGAGAGAGAGAGAGAGAGAGAGAGAGAGAGAGAGAGAGAGAGAGAGAGAGAGAGAGAGAGAGAGAGAGAGAGAGAGAGAGAGAGGAGAGAGAGAGAGAGAGAGAGAGAGAGAGAGAGAGAGAGAGAGAGAGAGAGAGAGAGAGAGAGAGAGAGAGAGAGGAGAGAGAGAGAGGAGAGAGAGAGAGAGAGAGAGAGAGAGAGAGAGAGAGAGAGAGAGAGAGAGAGAGAGAGGAGAGAGAGAGGAGAGAGAGAGAGAGAGAGAGATGAGAGAGAGAGAGAGAGAGAGAGAGAGAGAGAGAGAGAGAGAGGAGAGAGAGAGAGAGAGAGAGAGAGAGAGAGAGAGAGAGAGAGAGGAGAGAGAGAGAGAGAGAGAGAGAGAGAGAGAGGAGAGAGAGAGAGAGAGAGAGAGAGAGAGAGAGAGAGAGAGAGAGAGAGAGAGAGAGAGAGAGAGAGAGAGAGAGAGAGAGAGAGAGAGAGAGAGAGAGAGAGAGAGAGAGAGAGAGAGAGACTTAACGACCATCTATAAATTTAACGTTCAAAACACATTGTTTATTTTTTACCTTTTTATCTAACCTTTAACCTATATCTTATTTTAATTGAAATAATAAATATAACAAGATAGAAAAAAGTTTCCCTAAGTTTACCATAGGATGCTGTTTGTTTATAACAATTTTTCAACAATTAAAAAATTTTATTTTTATTTGAACTATTAATTTTTTATATTAAACAGGTTCCGGCGGTAAATTTTGGGTGAACTTTTTACTGTAAGATTGCAGCATCATATTCTTTCGATTAAAATAAGTTTCATGTTGTGAGTAAGAAACAAACAATGTGTTTCAAACGTTAAAATTTAGACGTCTGTCAAGTCTATATATCCCGAAACGCAACGGTATATCAATAATTTGTTTATGTATATTTTAAACTGACTTTTGAAATATAAAATGAAAATAAAATTAAGAATTTATAAATGGGTAAAGAAATAATAATAAGACTTACTCACAATCAATTTAATTTAACAATCAGACGACCGGTTTCGCTTTCTACAATTTGCAAAGCATCTTCAGGTCTAGATACAAAGTTAAACTAATGCTGCAATAAAATAAACCCAATTAGGGTGGTGTCTAATAAAGATAAAATAAACAAATAAGTTAGTTCATACAAATTATAGTAATTATGCCAATATTACATGTCTGTGGTTTTCAAAATGAATAAATTTGAATATATAAAAGGTATTAACAGACAAGGTAAGACCCACAATTGGTATAAAGTAGTAATATTATATTGTAATAAATTAATAAATGAGCAGATAAATAAAACAAAACAAACATTACTTACATGCCGGTACTCTATTAATTGATGGATGGTAGGTCATGGTTGCAAAAATCATGTATTGTTGATTGGAGAACTTTAATGTGCTATTGCAGTTGTTTTGACAATAAACGGGAAGTTCTTGAGGAGAACAGATTTGATCCAATGAATTAGAGATAGGTATATTGTGGTTGTTTGTCAGATGAAAGTGATGTTCTTTACTTTTGTATTATTTAAATTATTTACACTTATATCAGAGATATATTTTTGGAATGTGTGTTATTTATTGAGTATTTATGTTACATAAATACTCAATATACAAATATATATATATATATATATATATATATATATATATATATATATATATATATATATATATATATATATATTTATATATATTTATTATATCTTTATTCTAAATATTTAGACCCACATAATTTGTTAAATAACGTACCAAGACTTTTCAAATCATATAAAGTATGACAACCTTTTTTAGTGGCCTGCAGTCATATAAGGGCGTGGAAATTATACTCCGAATCAGTTATTAACCCTCGTGCATTTCCAGCATCAAGATGTACTCTTTGGCGAGGTCCCAACAAACATTGCGAATTTACTGTGGATGCTTACATGGGATTTCCTAATACAAAGTAAGTTTGACTAGAATATATGAATAAGGTTGAAAGTATATTTTATAAATAAGTAGATTGGTTTAAAACGGTTTTTAAAGTAGAAATGAAAGCTATAAAATAAACCTATTTTCAATTAAGTTTGTCGTTAATTTTCATAAATTATAGACGTAGTAATGCCACAAGAAAACAATTTATAAAGCCATTATGTGCTTAGGCTAAAATAGAGATATAACATTCACAATTTCCTAATTTTTATTTCAGAATTTTTTAAAAACGACTAGCACAGTCTGGTTATGCAAAAATCATCGATTTCACGGCAAAATTTTAGATCACGCAGATATCTGAAGCTTTTAAGACATAGGTGGGGTGATTAGATGACGAATAGATGAAAAAGTACTCGTATTTTTACCTTGCGTTTTTTTTAAACAATAATTTGTGGTCACAATTTGATTTTTTGTCTTATATTTTTCATAAACAATATTTCTATATATACCCGGTATTAAGGTGGCAGATGCCCTTCTGGTAGGGATCTATGGAGGAGTATCACCGAACCGCAAGCCCTTATCTCTTGCCTTACTGCCCCACCATAAGCCGATCAGATACCAGCATATTCTAGACTAAGCCGCAGATTCATTTAGAATTCTAAACTGCTGCGTTAGCCTTTTTGTTTTCTGTACACCGAGCTGGGGATTGAACTGACATCTCTCGCATTGAAGCGAAGGAGAAGCCAGCCGCCCAGCTCGCTTGGCTATCCGATCGAACAATATTTATATCTTTTTTTTATATCAAGAATATTTTAATTTTAAAATGTTATTAATACATTTGCACATTGAGGAATTAACATCTTTTAAATTTGTGCGAAAATCCCCCCTCCCCTCCGGTTGGTCAAATAGTTTAAAAGTTATTTAATTTATTTATCCCTTAGGCTAAATATTTAAACTATTGAACTGGCTCTGCGTTTGCTGATGTTGCGTTTTCATCGAAATTATTTCCAAAATAAACGTTTGAAAAGGGGGTATGTTTTTTTACTTATAAAAAACTGTAGTAACTTCTGTATTTTTCAAGCTACAGACTTATACGTATAACCACTGGATGCCAGGTAAAAAAACTCATACTAAAAAAAAAACCTACGACCACTAGGACAGAAGTTAGGGACTATTTAAAAAAAATCATATTTCCGTTGTTTATAAACATTAAGAAGCAAATTTTAAACGAAAAACTAAACATTATATTGAAACTTATAGCTATAAAATTCATCCAATTTTTCGAAACTTACAGCCCTTCAAAACGAAGTTAATTTCGAAAGATCGACATAGGAAAGTGGAGGGATAACTGTTTCAACTTTGTTTTTTTTTCGAGATCGGAACTTCAAATTGAAACACGTAGGAAAAATTTACATTATCTAGGCTTCCATTGCAGCTAGAAGCCTCTTTTTTTAATCTGGGGTAGCTCGTCGAAATGTTTTCACTGTCCGGGAAATATAGGGAACCTCAAAAAAATTGAATCCATTTGAATTTCACCGTAAAAACATACTGTTTTTTAAATTTGGCTGAAATAGTCTGTCGCATTATTAATAATGATAATATAATTTTCACCCCCTCGAAAATCTCGGAATATCAACATATATTTTTTTTCATCTTATATCAAATTGATAATGTTATAATGTATCATTATAACACCATGTTTCGCCCTTCATACTCCCAAAATTCCGTAGAATAGCAACCAATTCATGTCAGAAACTGAACTGCATAATCGTCTAGAAGAGGAAAGGCGAACCCACAAGCTATCGTTGCGTTTCCGTTCAAGGTTCGCCCCTACTCCTCTATAACCCTGTTGGTGTTTCTGTAGCTTTAGTTGATGAGATATTCTTGCGTTGTATGCAGATGTACAGATGTATGCGTTTTTTTTAAGTTTTTCTGTACGATCGTATGCTTGTAGTTTTTATTATTCGTATTTTAAGGAAAAACCAAGGTTACATTAGCGTTAAAATTGTACTGTTTTTTCCGATTTATTTTCAAAATGAACGCCGAGAACACGACAAGGTGGAAGCAAAAGAACACAGAACAATGGGTTGTTAACGTGTGTAAAAGCAAACAAAACTGTGGTGAAGCGTACATTTCAAAAAATACAAACAGACTTGTATCTGCGCGCACAATCGGACCACTATGTAAGTGTCGTAAAACGTGTTTTAAAAAGTTGGGCATGAACAATATCAATATGATTTTCAATAATGTTTGGCAACTGGGCAACTATAATAATCAAAACCAATACCTTTCAAAAGTGTTAAGTTTCAGTGATTGTAAAACGTCTTTAATTACTGACAGAGCTAGTAGAAAGCTTCGGACCATAGAGTAATGTGTTTCAATAAACGGAGAAAGAAAATGTGTTTGTCGTCAGGCTTTTATTACCATCCATGGCATAAGCCAAAAAACAGTTGGCGTTGTTTTAGACAAGAAGACCACCACAGGAACTGTGCTGAGTGACAACAGAGGGAAGCTATGCCCAGGAAATAAAATGTTTGGATATAAAAAGCAGTTGATCAGAGATCACATTGATTCTCTTGTTACTGTTTCCAGTCACTATAAGAGAGCCAAAAGTCCTTTTCGAAAATATATGCCACCGGGTTCATCAATTACTGGGGCATATGGAGTTTATATGGAATGGCTAAGAAACATATATCCTAAAGAACAGCCTGTGATAGAGTCCTACTACCGAAATATTTTTGTCAATGAATTCAATATAGGTGTTCAGCCTCCTTCTGTTGATGAATGTAATACCTGCTCTAAGACTAAAATTGAAATTAATGGGTTAAAGACTAGTAACCCGAATTCTCCCCGAATAACTGAATTGGATACGAAACTGAAGGTTCATTTAGCAAAGCAGAAAGCTGCTCAGCTTATGATGAAAAGCTACGAAAGCAACCAGGATACAAATATTGAAGTTATATGTGTTGATTTACAACAAGCATTACCCACGCCTAAACTTACCTGCAACGTACAATATTACAAAAGAAAAATGTGGACTTATAATTTAGGAATCCATAACGTTAAAACTGGAACAGCCGTAATGTATGTATGGGATGAAACCATTGCTAAACGCGGATCGTGTGAAATAGCCAGTTTTCTCAGTCACTACTTGGAGAACTTTGTTAACAAGCAAGTGCGACAAGCTATAATTTTTAGTGATAACTGTGCCGGGCAAAATAAAAACATAAACGTTGTTTTGTCTAACCTCCGCCACATTCATGCAAACCGCTTTGATCTTATTAAGCACGTTTTTTTAATGTCTGGGCATTCGATGATGGGCTGTGATTGAACCGAGATTTCGGTTCAATTAAATTAAAGATCAAGGACTGTGAAGTATTTTCAAAACAACACTATATCCATTTCATTGAACACACGAAAAAAAGAACAAATTCCAAGTTGTTAATGTCACGAGTGAAACGGTTAAGGATTTCAGTGTTCTTCAAAAAGCAGCAACTAAATCTCAAATATTGGGAGCTAACTTCAAGGATGGTAGAATATTCGAATTTTCAACAGATTTTAAGATGGGCTTTAAAATTCAAATAGCATACAACACGGATATTTCTACAAATGTCATACTCCAAAAGGGACGAAAGAGACTTCACGATGTAACAAATTTTAACTTAGATAGTATAGAACTTCCTCTCAAACACCAGGGTGCCATCAAGCTTACAGAAGAAAAGAAAAAAGACTTACAAGATCTTCTTGATTATGTACCCATGCCTCACAAGCATACTTTACAAGAAGCTATTAGTGGAGGAATTGATATAACTGAAGTCGAAGAAACTGTAGACGATGAAAATCAATTTGAGTTTAATTGAAGCTGTATTTGTGAATTTTGCAACTTATTCCACTACCACTAGCTCTCACAGAAACCTGTTAAAAAAACTAGGTATGTTTATATTTGTAGAATAAAAAATATTAAACCTCTTTTCATTTTATTTCATAAAATCCTTGAAAATCTTGCAAAATCCTCTTTTATTTTCTATTAATAAAATAAAACTGGTTCGGTGCTACTAAAGTATGCATCCCACCTCAATGGTTTAATCTACCTGAAGGATTTGGATTTCGAAAACCCTGGGAAGGGATTACGGTGTAATTTGCATAATCATAAAGTTTATAAAATGTTTATTAGTACTTAGCAATAAATATTTTGCCTACAAAGGATGCCTTTTATTATTATGTTCAAACCCTTCTCAGAAAAGATTATGGTGATAGGCCGACATATCAATAGGTAGAACGTGTTTACACTCCCAAATACCATCTTTACAGATGAATAAAATCATAGGTAAAACGAATTATTATTTCAATATTACAGGTTAATACTTTGTCATATCAATTTACCATTTTGGTTGAGAATAAGCCGTAAAATTAACATAATAATTCTTAATTTTTACGTGTTACGCGTTTTATTCACTGTAAAGATACACCGCATAATATAGTAGAAACGCGACGGTAGACCGCATTACTATCGTAGCACCACTTATTCGCCCTTACTATTTTGATATGTTCGTAAACTTTAACTCAGTTTTCTCAAAACCTGGTTTTTGCGGTTCGCCCTTACTCTTCCAGGCTCCTGTGATATAATATTAATGAATTTCGGGTAATTTTTCACACATTATATTATAATATTCCTTATATTAATTATAATTATTTATTACTTTGACGATCTATATATTTCTATATGTGTACCTATAGGTATATGTACAGTACGAGGACGGTAAACACATTTATTAATATACAATCGTGTCCCTACATTTTAGGTATATGTATTTATGTCAATAGGAGAAAGGTCATCTATATAATATAAAACCGGTAATATATCATAGTATGCGAAAAAAGGCGGGATGGGTAGCAGCTGCCACGCTCCAAAATTTCGTCAAAATAGTCCCTAACTTCATTCCTGTTGGCCCCCGAAGGTTTTTTTTAATGTAAGGTTTTTACCAACTATCCAATGGTTTTTCCAAGTCTGTAGCTTAAAAAATATAGAAGTTATTACAATTGTTTATAAGTAAAAAACATATCCCTTTTTCAAACGTTTATTTTGTAAATAATTTCGATGAAAACGCAATAAGCATTAACTTCTGAGAACAACTATAAAATTTACTAAATGGGTCTAGCATCATTAATAGAGCAAGTTCAATAGTTTAAATATTTACCCCCAGGGATAAATAAATTAAATAACTAAACTATTTGACCGAACGGGGGAAAATTTCGCACAAATTTAAAAGACGGTAATTTTTCGATGTTCAAATGTATTAATAGTATTTTATTTTGTTAATAAAAAATTAATAAAATTTATAAATAAGTGCAAAAAGCTCCTTTTTTTGCAAATATCTCCGTAAATTATTTATTAATTTTAATTTAAAAAACGGGAAAATAAAGATATTCTTGATATAAAATATTGATAAAAATATTGTTTAATATTGTAAAATATAAGGCAATATAAAAGGCAAATACAAAATAAAATTCAATTGTTGTTTAATCCCACATAAAAAATCTTTATTTTTGCTAGATTTCAGAATGATTTTTTGATTGTCGATTATTTTTAAGTATGTTTAAAACAATTATAATAGGATTGATATTGTTTTCCTCAACTGATATGTTGGGGTCAAAAAGGTCCCCTATAAATTTAAGATAATCTCAGGTTATTAAGATTAAATTAAGATTAATTCGAACTTTGGATTGAACCAGTTACCTCACAAAATACATCTTCGTGATTTCGTCTAAGGACTAGCAACCACAGTGGAGTCATACAATATTACCATATAAAAAATTCCATTTATAACTTAAACATCCTAGTTTTTTAAGATCAAAGATGTAATTTAAAATTAATGTAGCTGCATTTAAAGGGTTTTTACTAATATTTATATTTAGTGGCTTCAACCATGTAAATCCAGATAGCACTGATAATGGAATAGTAATTCCAAAAACGTTCTGTTATGCATCCCATACGGTTTTTATATTATTATATCTTTTATAAAAGAATTAAAAATTTTTTTAAGGGTGAGTAGTTTAAGAGAAATGATCTCTCCTTGTGTCATTCCCCGTTAAAGTTTAATGCAATTCGTTTATGTGCTTTCATCCAGCTTTGTGTGCATGGTTGTATTTTCATATATGTCTGTAGTTACTTTAGCGTATCTTGAATCTATTCTTGCATTTTCTAGAAATTCTAGAACAGCCCATAATTCAATAAAGTCGAATCCGTTATGAAAATCCACAAAAGCCATATGAATTGGAAAATTATACACGGTGAATTCCTCAAAAATATTGTTAAGTTCAAGTTAAGTTCAAGTAAGAAAAATTGGGTTCAATTAAATTTGTATTCAGAAGGTCAGGGATCGATTCCCAGCAAAGGCGAAAACATCTAGATATTTTTAAAATATTAACAGGCCTATCTAAATATAAAAAAATGAGTGTCTTGGGTAAAACTGGGGGTAATAATAGACATTTGAAGCTTACCATTGGCCCTGTTAGCTTTCTTTTATACCGTAGCTAGTAGTTTACAGGGAAACTATTATTTAATTATATGTTTTACATTTTAAAACAGTTGTTTATAATTTTTTACTTATATATTGCAATATCTTTTTTAGTACTACATTTGGATCATTTTACCTTATTACTAATGGGGAAAAGCCGTATGGTAAAACATATTAGGTCCGAGTTCAAGCTACTTATGAGGAAATGAACAGATGAACTTTTCAAAAGTTTTCGAACAAATGATGTTTAACCTCAGAAGCAACTGTATTTTAAATAAATTTTTTAAAGTGTAACTGAAAAATTTACTGATAAATATTTCAACTAATAAATACAAATTAGAAAAAATTTAAAGTTTTCCTTCTTGGACTGAATTGGAGTTTTAGGATGAAATAAAGCTACTCTTCGCTTAGCTCGGTCATATTTTGACAGATTCATTGTCGGAAACCTACAACACAACAATTCCTACTTATCAGTATTAATAGCTCAAGTATACTACTATTGCAGATTTCGTTCTTGGAAAAAAGAAGAATTATTCTAAATAGTGGAAGTGTATACTAAACCCATCAAATTTTCCCTGTATATTTAAAATATAATATTTGAGTTGTTACAATTTAATATTATATTGTAGTAAATATTGTTTGTTCTATTTAGTTAATTTAGTTATAGTTCTATTTTGAATTTTATTATTAGCGATAGTCAAAGTTTTCCATTTGTTCTATCAGATAATTGGTAAGTTTCTCTTAGATAAATATGATAAATGTTCTTTAAAAGTTAAAATTTTTGAATGAGTAAGGATGCTGTTAAATAACAAGGTAATCAAACTGCACAAACATTTATTCAACACCACCATTTTTTTTTTAATTATTTGCTCATTCGGCGTAGTCTATGAAATTATGTTAATATGTTCTTAGTAACAAAAACATTTCAGTTAACATCCATGTACATATAGCATGTATAAAGTTTCTATTATATATAAAATGTATACCTATTATATATAAAAAAATGTATTTTATAAAAAAGTTACAGTAATTTAGTTTATATCGTTAAGTTGCTTTAAATGTAGGCAACCAACTTAAACTTTTTGTTAGCATTTAGCTGGAGTTTCTGGAGAATATTTTTAATAAACGTTTTATATTTTCCAGTTGATTTTATATTTTTTAAAAGTGATATTTTAAATGATATTTAATCACAGAACGTACTTAATATTGTGTTATATAATCCTCATAATAAAGTACGTTAGATAAAAGGGTAAAATCCCGGGTTGTCCAAAACTAGTTTCTGATAGAAATAATAGAATATTATGTATAGATAGAAAGTACGTCTTGTGATTATATATCATTTGAAATATTGCTTATTCAACATTATTATCATCACTTAAAAAAAATAGTAAATTACCTAGAAAATATTAAACGTTTATTAAATATATTCTCAAGAAACTTCAGCTAAATGCTAACAAAAAGTTTAAGTTCGTTGCATACATTTTGCGTACCGAGTATACCATTATGTTCAATATGCCAAAGATTTTTATTGTTATATGTTTTTTGATTTAATTTAGGGATAAGTAGTTTTTTAAAACTAATACACTTAGTTTTCTTGTTTTTTTTTACATAATATTTTCCTTTATGTTTTTTTTTGAATAATATATTAAATACTAAGAGTGGGCTTATGAACTCGGCATTATAATAATATATTCTTAATTTCAAAATTAAAATAATACATCTATAGGTAACTGAACTGAAGAACCGATCCATAATTTTAATGGCATTTCAGTAATTTAATCATAACAAGTTGGGAACGGCCAAAACTTTATAAAATTATTGCAAATAAGCTTATATGGCAAGTAATATGTCATTTAGAATCTTAGTTCAAGTTCCTGTTAACTACAATAATATAATTATTTGATTATACGGGGTTCCGCATTAGTGCGGAATTACGGACTAATTAAATATTAATTGGAGAGTTGGAAATAATTGGACTTATTGGAAATAAGTCCAATTACTCATTTTTCGTAAGATATGGTTGGACCATAGATAGGACAATACTCTAAAAATATTTTCAATTATACAGGGCCACTCATATTGACGGGGTGGAACAAATTTATAATTTTTTTAATGGAATGCCCTGTATATTTTTACATTTTTGGATTCTAATTTTTTTAATATATGGTTTGGCAGTGTTATATGAGGTAGTTTAAAGGATAATTATGTTTTTTTAATTAATTTCGTAGCAAAAATAACAGATTAAGAGATTTGACATTAAAAAGTATATTTATTTTCAAAATATTTTTAATATAGTCTACTATGGTCTAAAGTTATTAACATAGCGAAATATTTAATTTTTTGTTATTTATCATTGGTGTTGTACAATTTAAAGTTTTACAATTTATTTAGTACATTTATGGAATATGAGTATGATGTCAAATTTTTCATATCTGTTCCGTCTATAAAGCCGGGTACACACATGCCAGTAAATTGTGAAAGTAGCTGGCATGCCAGTTGCTGGCATATAATAATAGATATTATCAGGACCGGGAGAAGAGTTTTTCGTATTATTGAGTGAGTATTCTAATTCATCCACGGTTGAGATAATTTAAAGGAGAAAGGTCATCAGGCGGTATATCAATACCTTTAGATTCTCATGTTTCTTTTTTGGTCAACAAATCTGGGGGAAGAATATCAATGCTTGAGAATCTTTCAAAAATATTAGCTAGAATGTTGGCTATGCCTAGAGGGGAAGTGTATATTTTTTGTTTTTCTTCTAAGAAGTTAATGTTGTTTGGGGTATTTTTCCCGGATAACTTTCGTACCATTTGCCACACTTTATTAATTGGTGCAGATGAATTTAATTCTGAACCAAACCTTTTCCATGATTGACGCTTACTTCTTTTAATGATGAATCTAGCTCGTGCTTTAAGTCGTTTGAATTCTAATTTATTTCCAAGTGTATTATATTTCCTGAATAGATTTAATGCTGTTTTTAAAAGTTTCATAGCTTCTTGACATTCAAAATTTCACCAAGGGACTGACGAATTTAATTGTTTGGAATTCCTTTTACCAACGTCTTTTTCGCCAGCATTAAATAATACATTGGAAAACTCTTACATTTGACTATCAACATTATTTTTTAAACTTTGATAGTATACAAGGCAACTATCAAACACAGTGATTAATTAAATCTTGCCCAAGTACTTTCGATTAATAGATCATCTTCAGGGGCATTTCGTCAGTTGTGGCCTATCCGACATGAGTAGAATGTCATACATGTAAATTTGGACATAACAATACAATACACAAAGACAAACACTTTAAAATTTTTACAATGGAGAAGCTACATGTTATATAGAAGCCGGAGACAGAACATTATTGATCAACATTATTATTTGATTGTAAAATTTTATGTAATGCATTCATTTCATTTGAAACTAGATTATAATACTCTTGCCAATTTGCACTTTAGGTATTCCATTTTTCAACATTACAAGAGTATTGTATACTGTAAGGATTTGTTATTACAATTAAAAGTGGTCACTATCATTAAAATCAGAAAGTACATCCCAAGATAAGCTGGCTGATAATGCTCAAACACATATTGAAAGGTCTCTGGCAGAGGATTTACCAGTAGAAATGTCAAAATGAGTATTTCTTCCATCGTTTAGTAGGTTTAACTGAAAATTGTCTAACATTATTTCGATTCTACGACCTAATGGAGTAATTTTTTTATCCGCATATATAATTATGTGCATTAAAATCTGCAACTATTAGACGAGGTGAAGGTATTTGTTTAATCAAATCTGAGATTTCATTATTGCTTGGGTTTTGTGTAGGTGGAATGTATATATTACATATGTTTATTTTTAAATGCCATTTAATAGTAATTGCGACCGCTTCAAGTTGTGTATTGATTTGAAGAATTTCTACATCGATGGATGAATGAGTATAAATTGCTAGGCCACCACTAGCATGGTTTACATTTTCTCTATTTTTTTATGTTCATGTGAAGTGTTTTAAATTATAAACTTTATTATTCTTAAAATAAGTTTCCTGTAAACAAAGTATGGTTGGAGTAAGCTTTTTATTCATTTGTTGTAATTTCTCAAGGCGAGTGTAATATCCTCGTAGGTTCCACTGGATAATTGAGAAAGCCATTATAATATATATATATATATATATATATATATATATATATATATATATATATATATATATATATATATTTTACAATTTTATTAGCGGATTCGGTGTTAGTTTCTGGTTGTATGAATTTAAGTACTTTGTTTCGAAGTCTAGTACATCTATTTTTTATTTCCTACTTGATAAATTTTCATGTGGTTGATTTAAATGTTTCAATAGGTTTTCTAGATCATTTGTATTTAGATCAAGTTTTTATTAAGCTTACTGGGTCAGGGGTACCATGAGCATTTTCCAGTATATCTACTAATGTTTCATAAGATATTGAATGGTTTACTGAAGTACGTATAGCTGAATTTTTTATATCTTCAGCTACTTTGATGGTTTCTATGTCTGTGAGTGAAGACTTTGGCTTTTTTAATTTAGGATCTGAAAAGGAGTTACTTACTGGAGTGTCTAGAGGAGTTATAATTTTAGATCGATTTCGTTTGTTTGAGGAAGATCGTGGGATATTTGTTGAAAATCTGTGCTTTTTGTAACATGGATAGATGGTAAAATATGGATATCCGGTATAGGCCATCGTGTAGGAGTCAAGGAAAATATGTTTTGCGTCAGAAGAATGTATTCATTGTCTATTGGATCAGTTGAAGTAGTTGAAACAGCATTTTGTGTTTAAGATGTTTGAGTTTCCTTTAGATAATTAAAGAGGTTTTTCGGATTACAATTTATCTATTAAAACATCTTGGATATTTCCAGGTATTGAATGTTTGTTTCTTTCATTAATAAATTTGGGACAATATACCAAAATATGTGGTATGGATATAATATAGTTACAAAAATCACATATAGGGCGATTTGATTTGGCGATAATATAACCATGAGTTAGTTTGCTGTGTGCTATACGCAATCGAGTCATTTTAACGAATACCCAGCGGTCAATGTTTATTTCTCACCATGAATGTGTTGTAGGCTTAATAGTGTTTAGAAATGATTTTGATTGTTGCCATTTATTTCCCCATTCACTTAGCACTTTCTTTTTTACGAGTGATTTAAAATCCGGAACAGACACTGTAACGAGTCCGTTACTTAAATACCCACTTACTGTCCTGTCACTGGAATTCTTTAATTTAATTACA